TGCATGGAGTGTTGAGTGGGGCTTTGCAGACCAAGCACAGCCCTCCACCCTGTGAGTGACCATCTGTGCTGACCTCTGACCCCACAGGGCAGGCCCATCAGCCCAATGTGTACGTCCTGCCCCCGTCCCGGGACGAGATGAACAAGAACACAGTCAGCGTGACCTGCCTGGTCAAAGACTTCTACCCACCTGAGGTTGATGTCGAGTGGCAGAGCAATGGCCAGCAGATGCCAGAAAACAGTATCCGAACAACCCCACCCCAGCTGGACGCAGATGGGACCTACTTCCTCTACAGCAAGCTCTCGGTGGACAAGAGCCGCTGGCAGCGGGGAGAGGTCTTCACGTGTGCGGTCATGCATGAAGCTCTACACAACCACCACACACAGAAATCCATCTCCCCGTCTCCGGGTAAATGAGAAACGTGCCCAGTACCCCAGCAAGCCCCCACCTATGGGCTCTCAGGGTCCCACAAGGACGCCAGAGCCCCCACCCCTGTGTACATACCTCCCGGGCAGGCACCCCTGCATGAAATAAAGCACCCGGCACTGCCCTAGGACCCTGCGATGCCGTCATGGTTCTTTCTGAGGCAGAGCTCAGGACCCCCGGACCTCTGGGCGGCACAGACAGGCCTAGCTTCAAGGCCAAGGGGTCACCATTGGTGGGAGAGAGCAGGTCCCATGGGCGTCTGCACAGGCTGCCACAGGATGTGGGCAGGAGTTGCCTGAGCAGAAGAGGTTCTTTGCCAAAGGTGGCAGCCTCTCTGGGCCGTCCCTCCAGTCAGAAGCTACCCAGGGCTGGAGGGTGTGGACACGGATTGCAGAAGCCCCCCCAGAGCCCTCAGGGAAATGAGCACACAGTCCTACCCACCTCTGTACCAACCCAAGCTGTGGGACACTGGCCTGTCCTCCACCCTGGGCTCCCTGGGCCTCCCGAGACTCTGCGTGGTAGCTCTGTGCCCCTGCAAGAGCCATGCCTGACCCATGTGTGGGGACAGGCCCTCCTTTGCCCTCAGGCACTCCACGAACAGTTTCCCCAAACTGTCCCTTAGCTGTCCACAAACTGTCCCCATGCTGTCCCCACACTATTGCCCGCTGTCCCCATACTGTCCCCACACTGTCCCATCTGTGTCCTTTCACTGCCCCCTCGCTGTCCCCTTGCTGTCCGCATCCATCCCCACCAGGACCCCCGCACACTACAATGTCCCAGGGGTGGTGGGCAGGCCCTGGCGGGAGGCGGTCCTTCGGGCTCCAGGCCACGCTCACTCCCTTGCCCGCCTGCTGCAGGTGAAGTGGATCTTCTCCTCGGTGGTGGAGCTGAAGCGCACGATCGCGCCCGACTACAGGAACATGATCGGGCCAGGGGCCTAGGGCCAGCCCTCTTGGGCGGGTGTCCAGGGCTGCCCTCGACCCCACACAGGAACCGGGTGCATCCGTTCATGCCGCTCGGCCTGCTGCCAGGCCCGCTCTCTGCCCTCCCCCGTGCCACCCTCTGACCTCACAGCCACCCTGGGCCTGCACCTCCACCCAAGGCTTGTGGACACCTGCTGACCCCTCCTCAGCAGCCACCAAGATACTGCTGGGGTCACGTGGACACTGAGGCATCAAGGTGGGATGGCCCTCACCAGGACAGCCTCAGGGTCGGCGTGCACGGTCATCCTGGAGGAGGTGGAGGGCTGGTAATCCCAGTGTCTCTCTGGGCAGGGCCTGGCCTCTGTGCAAACCCCGTCCAGGCCAGGCTCCAGAAGGCAGGACATCCCCAGAGCAGGCATGTTGTCTACGATCCTGAGGAAGCCATGGACCACTGTCGCCCCACAGAGAAGCTTCCAACATGCCACGAATGGTCAGTCAGACCTTCTCCATGGGAGGAGACCACGCAGAGAAGGGCCCAGACCTGTGGCCACTGCAGGAGCCCACTAGGGGCAGGGCAGCACCATCTGGGGAAGGAGTGATGGCAGCCAGACTGGCCTGCTGAAGAGGGGCCTGGTGAGCTGGACCCCAAACAGGTGGGATGCTGCCTCAGTGCACAGAGGTGGATGGGCGCTGGGAGGCCAGGACAGCAGGCCCAGGCTGCACCATCCTATGGGCAGGACCCAAGTCACACTGAGCAGGAATGCCTGCTTGCTCTGGAGAAGCTGGGGGCAGAGACAAGATGACCAGAGAGAGCCCCCAAGCATTGGGACTTGAGACAGGTAGACTCCTAGAACTGGCTCTCCACCAGTCTTTGAGCAAGTGCCAGGTCAGAGCCCCTACATGGGAGAAATGCCCAGGCAAGGGAGGAGAAGTAGAGACCCCATGCCCTTTGGGAGAGAATGTGCACCCATCACTCAAAGGAAACCCACTGTTGTAGCTTGAGTAGCATGTTTCTTCTTGTGAAATTTCTGGAGCGCGATAATGTCCTTTACTGTTTCTTCTCTTTTTCTTCGATGACAATAAACTATCCTGAAAAGTTCCATAACTCGCTGGGGAAAGTCTTCCTCTGTTGATGTGCCTGGTGAAATCCCAGCCTGGCCACACCATGCATCAGCTCCCTCCCACTGTGGGGGGCCAGGACCCCACAGCCCCGGGGGCTCCCAGTGGGTGAGGAAGGCAGCCGGGAAGAGTGCAGGGCCAGGGGTCACCTGGGGCTGGGTGCAGGAGGGACTGCCAGCCCTGGCCGTGGCCAGAAGCAAGAAGCATGTGGTGGGTGTGTATTAGTCAGGATGGGCAGCCAGACAAAAGAGCCACAGTCTGGCGGCTTCAACCACACACCTTTCTGTTTTCACAATCCTGGAAGCTAGCAGGGAGAGGTGCAGGCCTCGCAGGGTGGGAGCCTCCTGGGGCCTCTGCCCCTGGCCTCACGTGGCCGGCCCTTTGTGTGTGCCTGAGTCCTGATCGTCTGCTCTTACAAGGAGAAGAAGCCATAGTGAGGACCAGCCATACTGGATTGGATTAATGACTCCTTTTACCTTGTCACCTCTCCAAACACCCCGTCTCCAAATACTGTCACATTCTGAGGTCCTGTGGTCAGGGCTTTAAGACATGAATCTGGGGAACACAATTTAGGATGGCTGTAGGACAGAAAGCAGGCATCCAGGACAACATTCCAGCCCTCAGGGACACTGGGGGACTCCAGGCTACCATCCTCAGGTCTCTCCACACCCTCCATCCCCTCCACCCTACACATCTACCTAGAAGCCAATCTGCCAATGGGCCATGCAGCCTGCCCAGTCCCCTCTTCCTCTCGGCCCCAGGGCTACCCCCAGTCCCATCCCCTGGACCAATGATCAGCCTCCATCCCACCCACCCACCCACCCCACATGGGAATGCCAGGAGCTCCCACACAGGGAGACCCCATGCCCTCCTTGTAGAGCACCAGGCACTGGCACAACTATGCCATCACCTTTGGGGCTAGAATGCCCGCTTTCTGAGAACTACCTCCCACCAGGCCCTGAGGCTCCCACGTGGGACCCTCCAATACTGTCCTACCACATGGAAGCAAGAGAAGACAGATGAGAGCTAAGACATAGAGACCCAGAGTAACAGAACCAGGAGGAGACGGATGGGAGGTGAGAGACAGAGACCCAGAGTACCAGAACCAGGAGGAGACAGATGGGAGGTGAGAGATAGACCCATAGTACCAGAAATAGGAGGAGACAGATGGGAGGTGAGAGATAGAGACCCATAGTACCAGAAACAGGAGGAGACAGATGGGAGGTGAGAGATAGAGACCCATAGTACCAGAAATAGGAGGAGACAGATGGGAGGTGAGAGATAGAGACCCATAGTACCAGAAACAGGAGGAGACAGATGGGAGGTGAGAGATAGAGACCCATAGTACCAGAAACAGGAGGAGACAGATGGGAGGTGAGAGATAGAGACCCAGAGTACCAGAACCAGGAAGAGACAGCTGGGGAATGAGAGATAGAGACCCAGAGAAACAGAACCATGAAGAGACAGTTGGGAGGTGAGAGATAGAGACCCAGAGTCACAGAACCAGGAGGAGAGATATGGGAGGTGAGAGACAGAGACCCAGAGTAACAGAACCAGGAGAAGACAGATGGGAGGTGAGAGATAGAGACCCAGAGTAACAGAACCAGGAGGAGACAGATGGGAGGTGAGAGATAGAGACCTAGAGAAACAGAACCAGGAAGAGACAGGCGGGAAGTGAGAGATAGAGACCCAGATTAACAGAACTAGGAGGACACAGAACACAGGTAAGAGATAGAGACCCAGACAACAGAACCAGTAGGAGACAGATGGGAGGTGAGAGACAGAGACGCAGAGTAACAGAACCAGGAGGAGAGAGATGGGAAATGAGAGATAGAGACCCAGAGGAACAGAACCAGGAAGAGACAGATGGGAGGTGAGAGATCGAGAGCCAGAGTAAAAGAACCAGGAGGAGACAGTTGGGAAATGAGAGATAGAGACCTAGAGAAACAGAACCAGGAAGAGACAGATGGGAGGTGAGAAAAAGAGACCCAGAATAACAGAACCAGGAGGAGACAGAACACAGGTAAGAAATAGAGACCCTGGGGTGCCTGGGTGGCTCAGTTGGTTAAGCGTCTGCCTTTGGCTCAGGTCATGATCCCATAGTCCTGGGATCAAGCCCCGCATCTGACTCCTTGCTCAGTGGGAAAACTGCTTCTCCCTCTCCCACTCCCCCTGCTTGTGTTCTCTCTCTTGTGGTCTGTCTGTCATATAAATACATAAAATATTTAAAAAAAAATAGAGACCCAGAGTAACAGAACAAGGAGGAGACATAACACAGGTAAGAAATAGGGACCGAGGGGGTGAAGCAAGATGGCGGAGGAGTAGGAGACCTGGATTTTGTCTGGTCTCAGGAATTCAGCTGGATAGGAATCAAACCATTCTGAACACCTACGAACTCAACAGGAGATCAAAGAAAAGAATAGCAACAACTCTCTGAACAGAAAAGCCACCACTTTCTGGAAGGTAGGACGTGCGGAGAAGTGAATCCGAGGGGATATTCAGGAGGATAGACGGGGGGGGAGGGGGCCTCCAACGGCCGCTTCTGGCAAGTGCTAGAGCCGCAGAGCACAAAATCGGAACTTTTAGAAGTCGGCTCCGCTGAGGGACATCAGTCCAGTGGCTAAGTTGGGGGTGGAACCCTCGCAGGACAGTGTGGTCTCAGAATCTTCAGGGTCACAGAAAGACTGGGGGTGCCTGAGTGCAGCAGAGCTCCCAGGTATCGGAGCAGGGAAGATGGCTGCAGAGACGGAGCCGAAGCGCGGGCTCTCAGCTCGGGGTGGCCATAAACTGTGATCGGCGACACAGTCGGGCCACTGCTCCTCCAGCAAGGACCCAACAAGCGGCAGATCCGGGGAGACTCTCCTTCCTCCCCCGGGAGGAGCGGTGCGGGAGCGCACCGCAGGGATCTGCTGGGTTTGGAGACTCCACACGGGGTCGGGTGCCGGAGA